GATGGTACACAGCAAGCAGGGATGGTACACAGCAAAAACAGCCATCATCTAAAATTATCACTGTTTCATAGAATGAAAGTTTCAAAAGCAGGTGTAGGAAACATTTAATTGAATATTAAAAGGTAGAACTTTAAATACATATCTTCTGGAAGATTCTCCACTATCCTGATTTTTTTTTTTTCCCCCACAAGCCACTGCAGACAGGGGAAGCTGTGTTCTGGATTCACACCATGGATCAGAATGTAGGAACAATTAGTTAACACCATAGTGTTGATCAGTATCTGTTAGAAGGTGAACATTTGTCTTGCCAAATTAAGGGTGAAGCTCAACTTTATTTTTGAGAGCACCTTTAATTCATTGTGTATTCCAAATTGTTGTATACAATAAGTTACACTAAGTTTACAAGCTATTGTTTAATTTATTAAATAAACATGTATGAAACACCAATTCTGTGTCATGCACTGAGTCAGGCACTTGGAATATAAAATGAACTAGAATATAGCATACAGACATAACAAAGATTAGTAAAAATGTGGAGTGAAGATATTATAAAACAAAAATAAATTGAAGTTAAGAGACATGCATCATTAGTCTTGCTCCATGTCTAAGAACCTTCCTGCCCATGGGCATGCAGTATCCTTTTCTGTGAATCCTTCTTCTGAGAAGAAGGCATATGTCTTTTTACACTTATTTTGAAAACTAAGTAAAATAATGAAAGGTATCTGAAAAATCAAAGGTAAAGTAAAACCATAAGAAAGTAAATAATATTTGGAATTCATTTGTCATGATTTCTCCTATATTTTCTCACTGTAATAGATATAATCCATCCTCATTCTCCCTTAAACACTCAAAAATCCTGTTGTTTACACTAATGGTTTATTGAAGTATTCTTTAAAAGTATTCTATCACTGTCAACCCATCTCATGTTGCTGATTAGGAAACAGCAATCTAAAATGTGAAGTGACTCAGGAGCAGGTTCTTCAGTTTCCATTTAGTTGTGTGGTTTTGAGTGAGTTTCTTAATCCTGAGTTCAAATTTGATTGCACTGTGGTCTGAGAGACTGTTATGATTTCCATTCTTTTGCATTTGCTGAGGAGTGTTTTACTTCCAATTATGTGGTCAGTTTTTGAATAAGTATGATGTGGTGCTGAGAAGAATGTGTATCCTATTGATTTGGGGTGGAGAGTTCTTCAGATGTTTATTAGGTCCACTTGGTCCAGAGCTGAGTTCAAATCCTGAATATCCTTATTTATTTTCTATCTCATCGATCTGTCTAACGTTGACAGTGGGATGTTAGTCTCCCACTATTATTGTGTGGGAGTCTAAGTTTCCTTGTAGGTCTCTAAGAACTTGCTTTATGAATCTGGGTGCTCCCATATTGGGTGCATATGTATTTAGGATAGTTAGCTCTTGTTGTGTTGATATCTTTACCATTATGTAATGCCCTTCTTTGCCCTTTTTGATCTTTGTTGGTTTAAAGTCTGTTTTAAACTCCTGCTGATTGCTTGGTAAATATTCTTCCATCCCTTTTGTTTTGAGCCTATGTATGTCTTTGCATGTGAGATGAGTCTCCTGAATATAGCACACTGATGGGTCTTGACTCTTTATCCAGTTTGCCAGTCTGTGTTTTTTAAGCATTTAACCCATTTACATTTAAGGTTATAGGATTATGTGTGAATTTGATCCTGTCATTATGATGCTAGCTGGTTTTTTTGCTCATTAGTTGATGCAGTTTCTTTATAGTGTCAATGGTCTGTGTAACTTGGTATGTTTTTGCAGTGGCTAGTACTGGTTTTCCCTTTTCATATTTAGTACTTCCTTCAGGAGCTCTTGCAAGGCAGGCCTGGTGGTCACAAAATCTCTCAGCATTTGCTTTTCTGTAAAGGATTTTATTTCTCCTTTGCTTATGAAGCTAAGTTTGGCTGGATAGGAAATTCTGGGTTGAAAATTCTTTACTTTAAAGATGCTGAATATTGGCCCCAGCTCTCTTCTGCCTTGTAGGAATTCTGCCAAGAGATCCACTGTGAATCTGATGGGCTTTTCTTTGTGGGTAACCCAACCTTTCTCTCTGGCTGCCCTTAGCATTTTTTCCTTTATTTAAACCTTGGTGAACCTGATGATTATGTGTCTTGGAGTTGCTCTTCTCAAGAAGTATTTTTGTGGTGGTCTCTGTATTTCCTGAATTTTAATGTTGGCTTTTCTTGCTAGGTTGGGGAAATTCTCCTGGATAATATCCTGAAGAATGTTTTCCAGCTTGGTTCCATTCTCCCTGTCACTTTCAGGTACACCAGTCAAATGTAGATTTGGTCTTTTCACATAGTCCCATATTTCTTGGAGGCTTTGTTCATTCCTTTCCATTCTCTTTTCTCTAATCTTGTCTTCATCCTTTATTTCATTAATCTCTAATATCTTTTCTTCCTCTTGATCCATTTGGCTATTGAATCACGAAGTTATTGTGCTGTGTTTTTCATCTCCATCAGGTCATTTTTGTTCTTCTCTAAACTGGTTATTCCAGTTAGCAATTCCTCTAACCTTTTTCAAGGTTCTTAGCTTCCTTGCATTGGGTTAGCACATGCTCCTTTAGCTCAGAAGAGTTTGTTATTACCCACCTTCTGAAGCCTACTTCTGTCAGTTCATTAAACTCATTCTCCATCCACTTTTGTTTCTTTGCTGGTGAGGAGTTGTGATCCTTTGGAGGAGAAGAAGCATTCTGGTTTTTGGAATTTTCAGCCTTTTTGCTGTGGTTTTTCCTTATCTTTGTGGATTTATCTGCCTTTGGTTTATGATATTGGTGAACTTTGATGGGGATTTTGTGTGGACATCCTTTTTGTTTATGTTGATGCTATTCCTTTCTGTTTGTTAGTTTTCCTTCTAACAGGCCCCTCTGCTACAGGACTGCTGGAGTTCACTGGAGGTCCACTCCAGACCCTGTTTACATGTGCATCACCAGCAGAGGCTGTAGAATGGCAAAGATTGCTGTCTATTCCTTCTTCTGGGAGCTTCGTCTTAGAGGGGCACCTGCCAGATGCCAGCCGGAGCTCTCCTGTATGAGGTGTCTGTTGACCCCTGCTGGGAGGTCAGAGACCCACTTGAGGAGGCAGTCTGTCCCTTGGTAGGGCTCGAGTGCTGTGCTGGGAGATCTGCTGCTCTCTTCAGAGCCAGCAGGGAGGAATGTTTAAGTCTGCTGAAGCTGCACCCACCGCACCCCTTCCCCCAGGTGCCCGGTCCCAGGGAGATGGGAGTTTTATCTATAAGCCCCTGACTGGGACTGCTGCCTTTCAGAAATACCCTTCCCAGAGAGGAGGATTCTAGAGAGACAATTTGGCTACAGTGGCTTTGCTGAGCTGTGGTGGGCTCCACCCAGTTCAAATATCCAGGCAGCTTTGTTTACACTGCGAGGGGAAAACCGCCTATTGAAGCCTCCATCATGGTGGATGCCACTCCCCTCAACAAGCTTGAACATCCCCGGTTGACTTCAGACTCCTGTGCTGGCAGTGAGAATTGCAAGCCAGTGGATCTTAGCTTGCTGGGCTCCTTGCGGGTGGGTTCCACTGAGCTAGACCACTTGGCTCCCTGGATTCAGCTCCCTTTCCAGGGTTGTGAATGGTTGTGTCTTGCTGGCATTCCAGGCACCACTGGAGTATGAAAAAAAAAAAAAACCAAACTCCAGCTAGCTTGATATCTGCTCAAATGGCCACCCAAAGATGCCCAGTGGTTGAGCTTCCTGATCTCTAGGGCTGTATTCTTCTCACTATGTCACACTGCCCAAGGTTTCTTTCACATCAGGAACTATAAGCATGGGAGGTACATTCTTACATCCTAGAGCATTAAACTATGGAAGGAAAAGAACCCCCTTTAGGAGTCTAGACATAAAGCAGAATGCTGAAAGGGCAAGTGGACTCTGGGGATTCTCTTTCTGCCAATCACTTGTTCTGTTTGCTCCATAGCTCCTACCCCTTGCTGTCCTTCTCCTCTTTGTCTTTTCATATTCCTATTCTTGTGTCATCTTGATATCAACCTGATGGGACTGATTGGTCTTCTGTTGGTGGTTTTGTGGCTGTTGTTGTTGGCTATTCAATATCACCATGAATTACTAACTCTGCTTTAAGAGAAGGAAAACATGAGTTGAACCACTTCACCTAGGAAATTGAATTCAGTCAGCTCTTTGGGAAAGCATAATGTTCTTAAAAATCAAATTTTAATATCTCCCCCCCACCTTCGTGGCCCTGTCCGTCTTCAGAGCCAACTGTTTGAAGACAGAAGGGGCCAGGAACCAAGGGGGGTAGGAAAGACATTCAAATTTGGGCCAGGAACCAAGGAGGGGAGAAAAAAAACTGTTGGCTTTGAAGATGGAAGAGGCCAGGAACCATGGAGGCCATCACATTTGAATGTCTTTATACCAGATCTGCACATTGTAACTTACTATATACTCTGCTATTGTCCATTGAATGATACCAGCCTTTTTGCTACATTGCTCATAACAGCTGGCCTCTAACAACATTTGAGTTGGCAATTAGTGGACTCAACTTTTCAGGTAGATCTGGAATTTTGGGGGCAGAATACCATAATTGTCAGCTTACTGTTAGTCTCTCGAGCCCAAAGCATTGCCTGCAACATTCTTCTCACTCAGATCTGCAGAGTCAGAACTGAGTACTGAAATGTCCAAGATCACAGGGTTTTGCATTTGACGATGAATCTTAGGGGTTTCCAGAGAGTGTAGGCAGATTAAGGCAGTTCATAAGAGAAAACAGGTCAAAAACCCTGTTAAAACACATCCTTGTATATGCTTGAGAGTCGTGAAATGCCTCTTCTGACAGAAATGCCTAAATTAGCATAAGAAATAGTAATAGTTGGTTCTACATGAAGGGCAGGGTACCCTTATCTTATTTCTGAAAGAATTCTCCTGGAAGAGCCATCTGCCGGAGAAGGGACAAGTCCCAGCAACAGTATACTTTCCCTTTGCCCCAGCATAATTTTCACTAAAATCCTCTTCAATACAGGTTGCCAATTTGGCCTGTTCCATCTCCAACAATGAAGAAGGGGTGAAATTAGTTCGGATGGCAGCCACCCAGATTGACAGCCTGTGTCCCCAGGTAAGCCTCATACACTTTTTCAAAAGCCTGTCAGTGACCTTCTTCACTCCAGCCCTCATGATCTCCTCCTTTCCTTTCTCTATTTCTTCTCACTGGAAAATGCTTCTCACCACTCATGGGGGGTTTCAAATTCTACCTTTCTCAGGAAGAATAAATTACACTGGTCTCTTCAGAATTAATGTGACAGGGGCGAGACATGGTGGGTCACACCTGTAATCCCAGTGCTTTGGGTGGCTGAAGTGGGAGGATGGATTGAGGCCAGCAGTTCAAGGCCAGCCTGGGCAATATAGTGAGACTTCATCTCTACAAACAATAAAATTAATTAGCTGGGTGTGCTGGTGCATTCCTGTAGTCCCAATTACGGGGGAGACTGAGGTGGGAGGATTGCTGGGACACAGGAGTTCGAGGCTGCAGGGATCAGTGACTGCACCACGATACTCTGCACTCCTATTGACTTTGTTCTGTTTTGGGTTGTGATTTAAATATCCCATATCTATTTACCTTGTCTCAGCAGCTAAATCATAAACTTGCACAAGTGGAAAACAAGAATTGCATTTCTGCCACATCTGTGCTACATAAATGAGACTTGTCTAGTAAATACTTTTTGAAACCTGAGGCAAACTATTATGTCTTAAAAAGAAGCAAAGCAAACAAAAATTAATGGTAGTTGATAACTTATCTTTTATGTGTTTGTCCTTCTGAATACCAGGAACCCACTTATCTGCAGAATATCCAGGGTCCATGGTTTAACATGGTCTTTGACCTGCTTATTCCTTTTTTGAAGTGTGTGGTTATCATGTCCCTGGATTGTTTCCAACAAATAGGTCATCAATGCTGCTCTGACACTGGCTGCCCGGCCACAGAGCAAAGTTGCTCAGGATAACATGGATGTCTTCAAAGACCAGTGGGAGAAGCAGGTCCGAGTGTTGACAGAGGCTGTGGATGACATCACATCAGTGGATGACTTCCTCTCTGTCTCAGGTAATCATCACAAACAGGCCCCATACAAGGCAGCGGAGGAGGGTAACAATGAGATAAGGAGTGTCTCGCAAATGTCATGGGTCCATGTTTTAGGCACTCTCCTTAGATCTTTGAGTTTTCTTGATCATCTCTGCAAATGTGATTATAACACTCTCTCAATTCTTTGGTGTTTACATTATTTGAAGATACAGAGTCAAGGCATTAAAAAGGGAACATATGATTTGAGGTGGCTTATCTTCCTTTTTAGTGTTTGGAGTTTAGAAAGCAGGACGGCCTGTGATGTATCTGAATCACTCCTGTAAAAAAAGGGCCGTGGAATATGGGATTCATTAATCTACAAGGTTTACGTCTTAAAAATAGGTGATCAGTTACTCCTATTTGGCTATGCTAAGTTTCTCTTTTTTTCAACAAGTGGAGGTTTGCGATGACACCAGTAAAGACATCAGCCACATAATTTACCTCTGAGAAGGCACTTGGTAGCTATCAGGGCTCCGAGCACTTGTCTGTCAGGTGGTAGAAGGAAATGAGTGAAAGAAATTAGAACTGCTCATCCCTTGAAATTATAACTTTCTATTGTGTAAATGAAGCCATAGTGGAGGATGTAGTAGACACGAATAACTTGGAGTCAGTTCGACCTTTAACAGGACTCATGGAGTTTGTTTCAAGATTGAGCTACCAGCCAGCAGATGGGCCTTTTTCCAAAAGCTTTTGACCTAACTTATTTGGTCCAGTTCACCTGGAAAAATCTCTGTGAGGAGGAGGTCACTGGAAACATCAGCCTTCTTTGTGAGGTGTTAAAAGAACCAGCTGACCCTTGGAAATGCGAATTGGCCAGGTGTTGATTCTACACAGGTGTGAGGAACTTGCACCTACTGACTCAGGCAGTACTAGCCCTGACGACCTGCTGGTTCTTGGCAGACTGAGGGCTGAGGGAGACATTGCATCACCGCTGGTGGGAACCAGGCAGACAGGACCTCTGACTGCAACAGTGTGCAAGTGATTTCTGAGTGGCTGTCATGTTTAGAAAATGTTTCTAGTTGCAGTCTTTCCTTTTCCTGAAGAAACGGCAAGTTCCCACTGGGCTTGTCTCAGAACAGCATAGTCAAATCTGTAGATGTGATGGATTACCAGAAAGCCAGCTTTTCAGTGATGGGGGCAAGTCAAGGCAGATGGGAACAGTGACATAAAATGAGGCCTGTAACTAGAATTTACCTTACTCTCTGCTGCTTGGTTTAAATCTCATCAAAATTCTATAAAATAGGTACTAGTAATTTCAGGTTTCTTTTAAGAAAATTAAGTCATTGAGAGGATAGGTAACTTGGCAGGGATGGTTTTAAAATCCAGATTATCCTCTTTTCAGAAACTATATAATTCTCAGTAAGTCAAGATAAAAAGGAAATTTCCTTTGGTGCTTCCGCCTTTCATTTTAGCTTCCTCTTTCCACCTCTGGTATTCTCATTCCAATCTCTAATCCCTTTCAGGAACCTGTCTTGTTTTTTGTTACCAAGGTCTTTGTTTTTGATGACTCGTCAAAGCAACTAGTCATTTAAATATCACTATATCTAGAGATTAGCTGAAAGAAGAACTCAATATATTGTCATTTCTTTTTTTTCTGCTTTGCTGATAGCTGAGTCCCAATCCTGTAAAAGATACCCCCACAAAATGAATCTCTCATAAGGTACTTGGAAATTGCTCAGATAGGTATGTTGGGAACTTGGGTGATGGAGAATAGAAAGGTGGCCGCTGAGACGAATCTTCTTTCTAGCATATGGTCAGTTTTTTCCAGGATAACTGTGGTGCTCCAAATAAGAGCCCTTCCCAACCAGCCTCAGATCTCACACAGCAATCCTAACAGCCCCTGAAAATCTTCTGCATCCTGTTCTACCTTCAAATCAATAGGAAATACCTATACACTGCCTTTTTCAGAGAGGACTCACTTCAGAACTTTCAACTTTTCCCACCTATTCTTTAAATGCATATACAAAAGTTTGAGGGTGGGGACAAGCAAGGTGAGGAGGTCTTATCTCAGACTTTTTCCATAGGGCAAACCTTTTCTTAATTTTCCACCCCCAAGCCCTGCCTCTTTGCTCCCTTTTCTCTTTGCCATTCCTTTATGCATCTCATTATTACCAACAACAAGAAAAGGCTTTGGCTTCTACTGATAACACTGTGCAGTCCAACCCCAGTGGTACAAGTGGCATGGCATGCCATGGCAGGAAGATGAACAGGCACTCTCAGGGAGCCAGCTTGGCAGGGCCTGCCGGAGCATGCCTTTGGAGTTGACAGTCAGAGGCAGCAGGCACCTTTCCACAGACAGGGTTTGACAAATAATGACACAGCCCACTCTGTCCTACTGGTAGGCTGTGGACACAGCCCGATAGTTAAGGAAACTACTTCTCAGCTTCTCTCCGAGCTAGAGCCAAACATTTACATCAGTAAATTGCAAGTTTGGCCCAGGAGATGTTTGGAAATGGCATTAATGACATTTTATGTATCAATTTCTTTTTAGGGGAATATCTCTTCTGGCAGGAAACTATTTAAAAAATAAAAACAGATCATTGTTTTTAAAAGACAGTAGATTTTTTTTTAATACTACCCTAACTTGTGTATCTGATATTAAATTTATCCATATGAAATGCAACAAGTTTGGGGAGCAGTGATGCTAGCTATTAATATTACAGGAGCAGAACCAATTTTCAGATCTGGCCTATTCTCATAAAAAAGTGAAATGGCTGTGTTGGAACATTTAAACTTTTTCTCACTTTGGAAAACCTACAATTTTTAATGGTGTTTTAAAATAAGTATCTTGGCATTAATCATGTGACAGTTTAATTCTTGGATTTGGCTCACAAAGTAGTAGAAATCTAAGATCTGTAAAAGCTATTAACTTGATCTCATAATGTCCAAGAGTTTTGGTTATTTTTTCTTTCCCTATTTTTTTTAACACTACAGTCTTAAGTGTGTTGTCTTTTAAACATTCACAGTGAATTTCGTTTTTTGAATCTATAGCCTTGTGGTTTACGATAATCAAATAGTTTGGTCATCACTCATTGTTTTTCATAACAAAATTATATAATTTCTAAAATAATAATGTTGCAAAATGTAAGGAAGTTTACAGCAAAATATGTTGCAGACAAATGTTTCATGACATGTTTAAATACCACACTTGATATTAGAGTGTGCCACCCAAACATTACAGTTTTTCCCCTGCAATGGAATAATCTCTAGAATACATTTGCCTTTTATTACTATTTTCATCTCTATTCCTTTCTAGCTGCAACATCAATCCTCTGTCTCTTTACTTCATGAATTCTTTCTCTTCAAGACACCTCAGCATAAAAGTGTGTAATCGATTGCCCCTTCTCAATGGGCATGTTCATTCAGTATCCCTCCTTTGATTGCCTGCTGCCTATGTGCCACTGTCTCAGGAATGCAAATACGAATCAAGTATGTATTCTGCCTTTAAATAATTGACTGCCCTCCTTGATACATACTAGATTAGTGTGCTAACTAACTGTAGGTCCTAGACCTGAAGGCACAGGGTATAAGAGTGGGGAAATCATGACAGGGGGTTCAAAAATCCATGTATACACCAAATATAATCTTCTGACCATATCTACGTGAACAGATATGGCTTTTTTCCAAATACAGGCAAACCTCAAATATGTGGCGGGTTCTGTTCCAACTACCACAGTAAAACACCAATTGCAATAAGGTGAATCATACAATTTTTTTTTGTTTCCCAGTGAATGTAAGTTACGTTTACAGTGCAGTGTAGTCTATTAACTGTGCAGTAGGATTATGTCTAAAAAATGCATTTAAAAATACTTCATTACCAAAAAATGCTAAAGATCATTCTGAGCCTTCATCCAGCCATAATCTCTTTGATGGTGGGTGGGGGGTGGTTCCTTGATATTGATCGGAGTGGTGGTTCCTGAAGGCTGGGTGCCTGTGGCAATTTCTTAAAGTAAGATAACAATAACATTTACTGTATTGATTGAGTGTTCCTTTTATGAAAGATTTCTCTGCAGCATGTGATGCTGTTTGACAGCACTTTATCAACAGTAGAACTTCTTTCAAATTGGAGTCAGTCCTCTCAAACTCTGCTGCTACTTTATCCTTTACATTTATACAATAATTTAAATCCTTTGTTGTCATGTCAACAACGTTAGCAATATCATACCTAGGGAGAGATTACGTCTCAAGAAACCATTTACTTTGCTCAGACCTAAGAAGCAATTCCTCATCCATTAAATTTGATTATGAAATTACCACAATTTGGTCACATCTTTAGGCTACATATCTAATTTTAGTTCTCTTGCTATTTCTAATTTCTTCCTCCACTGAAGTCTTGAACCCTTCAAAGTCAACCATGAGGGTTGGGATCAGCTTCTTCTAAACTCCTGTTAATGTTCATATTTTGACTTTTCTCTGGCGAATCAATCATGGATGTTCTTAGTGGCGACTAGGATGGCGAATTCTTTCCAGAAGGCTTTTAATTTACTTTGCCCAGATCCATCAGGAGAATCACTATCTATTACAGCTATAGCCTTATAAAATGTATCTTCTAAGTAATAAGACTTGAAAGTCACAAATACTCCTGGATCCATCTGTTGCAGAATAGATGTGGAACACTATTAACAAGCATGGAAACACTATTAATCTTTATGTACATCTCCTTCAGAACTTTTGGGTGCCCAGGTGCATTTTCAGTGAGCAATAACATTCTGGAAAGAATTACTATTTTTATTCTGAGCAGTAGGTTTCAACAGTGGGCTTGAAATATTCAGTAAAGCATGCTATAAACAGATGTGCTGTCATTGGGCTTTGTTGTTCCTGTTATAGAGCACAGGCAGAGTAGATTTAACATAATTCTTAGGGCCCTAGGATTTTCAAAGTGGTAAATGACCATTGGCTTCAACTTAGTCATCAACTGTATTAGCCCCTTACAGGAGAGTCAGCCTGTCCTTTGAAGCCAGTCATTGACTTCTCTCCACCTATGAAAGTTGTAATTGACACCTTCTTCCCATAGAAGGCTGTCTTGTCTACATTGAAAACTTGTTGTTTGCCCCCTTAATCAATGATCTTAACTAGATCTTTAGGATAACATGCTACAAGTTCAATTCTGTCTACATCAGCACTTACTGCTTACCTTGCACTTTTATGTTATGGAGATGATTTCTTTCTTAAACCTCATGAACTAACCTCCTAGCTCCCATCTTTTCTTCTGCAGCTTCCTCACCTCTCTTAACCTTCATAGAATTAAACAACATTAGGGTCTTGGTTAAGATTAGGCTTTGGCTTAAAGAAATGCTGTGGCTGATATGATCTTCTGTTTAGACCACTCGAACTTTGTCCATATTAGCAACAAGGCTGCTTTAATTTCTTTTCATTTGTGTGTTCATGGGAGTAGCACTTTTAATTCTTTCAAGAACTTTTGTTTGTACTTACAAATTGGCCATTGGGCCTCTCTTGACTTGTGACATGTCTTCCTCACTAAGCCTAATCGTTTCTAGTTTCTGATTTCAAGTGAGAAATATGTGACCTTTCCTTTCACTTGAACACTTAGAGGTCATTGTGGGGTTGTTAATTGACCTAATTTTAATATTGCTGTGTCTCAGAAATAAGAAGCTTGAGAAGAGGGAGAGAGATGGCAAACGGCAGTCTTGGTGGAGCGGGCAGCACACACCCAACCTTTATTAAGTCTGCCATTTTATATGGGCATGGTTCCTGATGCCCTAAAACAATTGTAATAGTGACAAAGATCACTGATCACAGATCGTCATAACAATAAAAAAATCTGAAATATTGCAACAATTGCAAAACTGTGACACAGAGACAGGAAATGAGTGTATGCTATTGGAACAATGGCGCCAGCAGACTTGTTTGAGGCAGAGTTACAACAAACCTTCAGTTTGTATTTGGGAAAAAATAAGTCTGTGTTGTATAAGAAAGCGAGACATGCCTGTAGATTGTTACTAATAAAATGCAAATCTATTTGAAAACATTCTGAACCATAGTAACTTTTACATGTCTACCACTCATCAATATAACTACTATCATGAGGAAATTGTGACTCAGTTTTTCATAAAAGGGGACCTGAATTGGAGAAGGTTGAAAAATTCTGAGTAAAGTATAATTATATGTTGCTTAACAACAGGTATACGTTCTGGGAAATGCATGGTTGGGCAATTTCATCACTGTGTGAACATCATATACTCTATTTACACATCCAGATGATATTGCTTACTGCATACCTACATTATATGGTAAAACCTGTTGCTATTAGGATAAAAACTTGTACAGCATGCTACTGTACTGAATACTGTAAGCAATTGGAATAGAATAGTAAGTTTTGTGTATCTAAACATATATACATATTTTAAAAGTGCAGTAAAACTATGATATAATCTTACAAGACTACCTTCAGATATGTAGTCTGTTGTTGACTGAAATGATTTATGTTGCATGACTATATCTTACAATTAAAAAAATTTATTTATAAAAATTAGTCAATTAGGCTGGGCCTGGTGGCTCATGCCTGTAATCCCAGCATCTTGGGAGATCGAGGCTGGTGGATCACTTGAGATCAGGAGTTTGAGACAAGCCTGACCAACATGGTGAAACCTGTCTTCTCTAAAAACCACACACACACACACACACACACAGCCAGGTGTGTTGGTGCACACCTGTAATCCCATCTACTTGGGAGGCTAAAGCAGGAGAATCACTTGAACTTGTTAGTGGAGGTTGTAGTGAGCTGAGATCCCATAACTGCACTCCAGCCTGGGCAACAAAAGGAAACTCCATGTCAAAAAAAAAAAAAAAAGTCAGATTAGTCAATGAGGAAATTATAGAACTAATACTTTGTTCACATAACATTATTCACCTATTTAACAAATTTGTAGATGATTTGAGTAATCAATAGCAGTGTTTTTGTTATGGGTTTTTAGCTTATGCTGATTTATTTTAAATAGGTATAATAAGATCAAAAAAATGTATTTCTTGCCTCTTAATTAGTTGCATATTTCTACTTTTGGATAGTCTTATTTAAAAAAATGTTTTTATTTTAACACAGTTGGTCTTAGAATATAAAACACAATTATTAACTCCAGAGAGATTAGTTTCTAATATAATCAACATACTTCTCACTATTTTTTACTGAACTCTAAAATACCATCTTTAAACTCTGCAGAGAAACCTTGCCCATTCTTGTAATACTGTTATTCAAAGAAAATAGCAGCTGGATGTGTAATTTGACACAAATTCTTTCGTAGTTGCGGAGTCTCAGGAGCCAAGACACATTTTAATTGTCTTAAGATATCTCACAGGACAGAAGGAGAAGCTTCTTTTAATCAAAGTTTTATATTTGAAATCCTGTATCAATATTCACTTGAGTGAATATTTCTCGCAGATGTCCTTTTAGGTGTATACTGTGTTCTCATGTTTAATCATGGTTTCATTAAAATGTCATGTCTCAAGAAAATGTCATGATTTGGGAAATACTACTTTTTGTGAGTTTTAGAAATCTAAATACTAAAATTTAAACATTCCATTATTTTTCTATTCTAATTTATATTTGAAATTAAAGAACTAGAGAATGTTGAAATCAGTAATTTATAATGGTTTGAGTGGGGAAATCACACTGCACGAGGTCAAAATGGATGTTCTTTATGAAAAGTCAGTTATAACTTTCAATTTTTATTCCATGTCCTAAAAGAATAAATATTCCTTCTAAATGCTTAGTTTAGTGAAAGTAGGAGAGATTCGTAGCAGAGACTAGGATTTGCTGGATACCCTCCCATCTTTCCTCTAGGAAATTTAAAATCAGAATTAGCCCTAAAAGCTTGTTAAAGAAGTAATATTTTATTTTAATTCTTTATAAACTATTTGTTGGATTTGGCAGTTATGATTTTAACATGCTAATAGGTTACTTAAGACTTTTTAAACATATTTATGAAAAGCACATATTTTTATGTGCTCATGTCTTGGTGAGTTTTGGAAAATATCATAAACTGGTTGCTTATCATCAACAGAAATTTGTATCTTATGGTTCTGGAGGCTGGGAAGTCCAAGACGAAGGACTCTCTATAGCCTTCTCACTGGAAACTCGCATGGTAGAAAGAGGGAGAGATCTCTGAGATCTTTCATAAGGGCACTAGTTCCATTCCCTAGGATTCTGCCTTCATAACCTAATCACCCCCCAGAGTCTGCATCTCTTAATACTACCACTTTGGGAGTTAGAGTTTTAACGTATGAATTGTAAGGGAACACAAACGTGCAGTTTATTAGTTTGTATGTGCCTGTGTGTATGTGTTCAGCTTAAGTTAATTCCATAAAGCACTAAACTTGTTGAACATTTTCTTAGAAATCTGATTCTAAGGAATGTACAAGGAATAGAATTACAGACCTCACATTGGACATGTAAAATGCAAGACGACACACTTGTTAAAACAGCAACGGAACAAATAGTGTGTTTTCTCTATGCCAGGAGAGTGAAGCCTCCCCTCTTTCCTGCTTGATTTCTGCTTTGGACAATAGCATGAAAGCTGTGCAGACCTTGACTACAATCTGAGGGAACCAGCCACAAGACAGGGTTCTGTTTTAATTGTGGGAAATTCTGATTATCTTCACCTAATCAGTCTTCCCATTGTATGTACCATGTGCGTGACAGAATTTAAAAAGACTAACTGCATGATATTTGTTCATTTTTACCTCAAATGTTTTCTTAATGAAAACATCAAACAAACATGTGTCCAAAGCTCTAACTCTGGTCTTATTTATAGACATGTATAGTTGGTCAGATTGACCTTCCGTTGGCTGCTACGATTCCTAAAAGACCCTCTCATGTAGTAAGTATCAAACTTCAAAACAAAGGAAGGGATATTCTTTAACTCAGTGGTCCTCAGAATGTGGTCTTCAAACCAATGACATTAGCATCACCTGGGACCTTGATAGAAACTCAATTTCTTGGGCTCTACCCCAGACTTACTGAACTGGAAACTCTAGGAATGACACCCAGCAATCTACATGGTGCTACGAGCCCTGTGGCTGATGCTCAGCTTTGAGAACCACTATTGTAATTATAAACTATGTCCTTTAAATACAATTTTAGTATTAGGCATACATTGAAATATGTGCAAGGCAAGTGCTCATGATAGTTGAATCAACTTTAATTGCTTAAGTTCTGAGTGATTTAAAGTCATCTGAATGTGTATGTGTCCTCTCCATAGAAAATCACATCTTGGAGGATGTGAACAAGTGTGTGATAGCCCTCCAAGAGGGTGATGTGGACACTCTGGACCGGACTGCAGGGGCCATCAGGGGCCGAGCAGCTCGAGTCATACACATCATCAATGCTGAGATGGAGAACTATGAAGCTGGGGTTTATACTGAGAAAGTGCTGGAAGCTACAAAACTGCTTTCTGAAACAGGTAAGCATGGGTGGCCAAAATGTTAATGCCGTGATTCATTTCCGTATCTGAATAAGTCTGTTTCATTGATTTCTGTAGGCGTTGATGCTTCTCAATTGCACATGCTCATGGAAGGGTTGGAGTATTTGAGTGTCCTCTTCTTTGAGATTGAATTTAAATAATTTTAGAAGAATGACAATTCTATTGCTTTGAATGCATATATTTCTTTATAATTTTCATATAGATATTTGATTATCACAAACGAGTAGACATTTTTTTCTGCCTACTTCATTATCTCCAATTATGGATGAGAAATTTTATGGTTTGAGAAAATTATGGTTTGAGTTGGCTAAGAGGCTGGAATGAATTCACAAGGTTAGAAAATAGTGAAGATGTGATAGGAACTTGGAATCTGTAATTTAAGCTTTTCTTCATTTATTGCTTGAGAGGACAGGATGTGAAGAACTCTGAACAACCAGTGGAAAGCATAAAGGTTCTAGATACTGTGTGGGTATGATGTGCTCAAAGAAAGGTGGTGGCTGCTGACCAAGAATCAGGCTTTCAGCGTATACCCTTTCTTTCAGCGTATACCCTTTCTTTCAGCTATACCCTTTCCTAGGTTTTCAGCTCCTAGGAAAACTTTACATGCCCTTCTTCAGGGGCATGTGGCTGCCCACAGAACTAATTGCTATGATAAGGCATGGTTGCTTATGGAAGCTTGTTAGAGCTTGTAGAGGCGTTGGGATAAAAAAAAAAAATCCACTGAATTAGCAGAACAATCTACAACTCTGGAGAATATATAAAAGACTGGCCTATTTTTTAGTAGTTTTCCCTATTGACCAATGTATTTGGGCTTCCTCAGGCCTTGTATATCTGTACATGTAAGAATAGATATGTAGTTCAAGGAATGAGAGGAGACTAGGGAATGGAAAAAGAGAATGTAAGTCCACATTGGATAAGGTTGTAAATGAATAATGAATTGGTGCATATATCTGCACAGAAGGGCCTCTTCACTCAAACCCTAAGGGGTACCTAAATGGGTTTACATATGAGTTTTGGATGCCACTGGGCATTTTTAAAAATAGCCATTTCTGAAAGGTCAGATATAGCTGTGTTCTGAGTTCTCCATGATGAAATATGTTGGCAGAAATACGTTGCTTTTTATGGGGAAAAGAATATTTATAGAGAGTTCTGTAGGCATTTGTTAGCCTGGAATAGCAAGGAAAAAAATACATCAACACAGGTATTTGTCATTCTCTTTGAAGAATAAACAGAAACAGAATTGTGTGGCATCGTGTTATAAAGAGCACGTCTACAGATTGTTCCCCTTGAGCATCCTCACAGACTTATAATTATAAATAATAACAAAAATAAAGATAAAATATAGCTGCATGTGAATTAACTGAGAATCAGCACTGCTTACTTCCACATAAGCTTGTCCTTTACATTCAATTGAGCAATACAAAGCAAGCCACACAGTATTTCTTTCCTCACTTGGAAGAGTTGTAAAAAGGTACTTTTTTCTAATTCTCCAAATTAAGGACTTTTTCCTGTAGTAACCATTAGGGAGACCATCTCACATTTCTGTGGTTTTCAGCTCCTAGCCCATCAGCTCTATTCTTGTACAAAGTCCCCATTTCATGTGGGATATCTGACAGAGTAACACTCACTTGGATCTGACACTAGATAAATAATATCAGAGAAGGGTGGAAGACCTAGAGTCGGGACTCCATTTCTGTCCACTCGTGACTGGTGGGAAGGACATTTGTAGCAGATGAAAGATACAGAGCATATTGCCCATTTTCGTGTGACTTTGTACCCACAGATAATTCAGGCACTGTTCAAATGACATTTTAGAACTTTTTCTTATTATGTCTTGGACTGCTTCTACAACAGGAGTGCTGCTTACTAGGTCAAAATCTAAACACAAGGGCAATTGCTTAGTTGATTATCATAATTTTCACCCAAACTCTTGATATGTAAATAATTTTCTGGTTGATTTTTCTGCTTTAAAAAAGCAATTAAACAGTCGTTCTTCCTGGATTGTTGTTTCTAATCAAGATTTTTGCTCTTTTTCTGAGTTTTTAAAATTTTCATCCTAGCTTGAGATGATTGAGCGCTCCGGGGGTTTAACTAAAGGGACCTTTCTTATTTTGATGCCCACATCCAATTCCTAATTGAATATGGTAAATGAGGAGGACATTAAATTCTAGTTTCAGGATTTACTGAAGTTAACTAGGAAAGTAATTAGGTAGAGACTGAAATAGTTTACATATAACGTCAGTAGAAAATAGAGGAATAGGTGTCAAGGGAAAGTAGGTGTCAGTGAACTAAGAGCTAGAATAAAAGGTATAGGATTTCTTTAGTATTTGTCCCCAGTTATTATTCTCTTTCTGAAACAGGAGTAATGTTATTTTTTGTGAATAACTAGAGAGGTTGCCAAAGAAATGAAAGAAAAAACTTTAGCCGTTAACTCACTGATTGCTAATTAGAATTGTTGGGGAATGTGCTGACATAGAGTAGAGGAATGAAGTTTGAGCATGACCACAGGATCAGTTCTGTAATTATGGTTGTATAAAGTTTTGATGGTGTGTGTATGTACATGTGTGTGTGTGTGTGTATTATCAAAAGTGATTTACTTCTAATGTCATTGTGTGTCTGTGCTAAGGAGACATAAGATATATGTCCTGAAAATAGAAATTCCTCTGCATGTCCCTGATGCCCAATTATCTACCTTTTGGTTTTGTTTCTGACTTAAGCAATTTTAGAACCAGGTTGAATCGGTCACTTTTCTATCGGAGTCTATCAAATTTTGTCATGAGAGTACATTTTAGGCTGAAAGAGGGTGGCGGTGGGAAAAAAAAAAAGGGAAAAATGCCAAAAAGGAAAGATGAGGAAAAGGAATACAAAATGTCATGGTTTTTGTTGTTTTTGCCTTGCCATACCTACTAGGTTCTGCCCATTGATTTTTTTGTTTGATATTTCATTAAAAAATTATGTGCCATTAGATTCAATACCCTAAGTCAGAAGTTCTCTATACTGTTGACAATTTGATCTGAGTAATTGTTTCTTGGGGACAGTTCTGTTTTGCCCATTATGGGATGCCTAGAAGCATCCCTGGACTCCACCTGTAGATGTTTGTAGCATCTCTTTCATCTACACGCCAAGTTGTAACTACCAAGATGTCTCTAGAATTGCCAGATATCTTTGACATAAGTGGGACGTGGTAGGCAAAATAATGTGCATTGAGCATCACTGCCCTAAAATAAAGAAATAACCCCAAATAGGGACAAGTTAGGACAGGACAAATTGGAGCCTATGTACTGTGGACATAGTGGAAAGGGAGAGGGGTGGGAGTATATTACAAAGAAGCATCTATAAAAGGGCAGAGTAATCAAACAGCCTTGGCTAAACTGGATATTGCTGCTGAAATGTTTACACATAGGCCAGCCCTTGTGTAGACATGTTAATGGCTGCAGGGGTGGGTCACTGTTGGGAGACTCCCACTTTACCACCTGGCTGCCCTCACTCACTGGCTGGAAAATTGAGAGGTACCCCAAGAGTGAGAACAGCTCTGTGGTTTATTTTCCACGAGTTTCTTTCTTCCTTCAGTAAAGACAGTGTGCTTTGAGAGTGCTTCCTGTCTTGATAGGAATGCTGAGTCAAATTTAAGAAAATTTTGTAGATTATTAGTATGCTAAGAATTATAGGGTGGCATCATGTACAAATTTGCCTGTTCATTTTCTTATAAAACAATCTAGGCTGATGAAAACACAATAAACTGGATCTACAGCAGACCCTTTATATACTTACGTGGCATATTTGATGGGCTCTTCCATAAAACCTGAATGAGAACACATTGCCAATGGCTTGGTAGTAAGTACAGGCCTGACCAGGTCCATCTTCACAGATCTCATTTACAAAGTCGGGCTGCTGCGGAAGGCTGAGGAGGGCTGAAAACACATTCAGTGATTTCATATTAAGATATACATACAGTAGCTCATTTTTCACTGAATGGATTTTATTGAAATGTCATTTTTGTAAATTTGATAGCTGATTTAAGTTTGTGGCCAGGTGGGCATGACTGTGTTATAAGATCTGTGAGATTCTGGTAGACGTTTTTTCTTCAGAAGAAACAATAGACCCCCCCACCAAAAATAGAAAAAATAAAGCATTTTGTTGTTGTTGTTGTTTTGAGATGGAGTTTTGCTCTTGTTGCCCAGGCTGAGGTGCAATGCTGTGATCTCAGCTCACCACAGCCTCCGCCTGCAGGGTTCAAGCAAATCTCCTGCCTCAGCCTCTTGAGTAGCTGGGATTGCAGGCATGTGCCACCATGCCCAGCTAATTATTTTATTTTTAGTAGTGATGGGGTTTCTCCATGTTGGTCAGGCTGGTCTCAAACGCCCAACCTCAGGTGATCCACCCACCTGGGCCTCTCAAAGTGCTGGGATTACAGGCCTGAGCCACCACACCCAGCCAAAATAACACGTATTTTAAAAAGGGTTCTATGTTATGGAGCACTCTGTATGCAGAGATTAAAATTCCATTATTTTGGAAACTACGTGGGCCAAGCAGATGGTAATAATTTTTACTTCCATGCTCTATAACCTAAAGTTTTATACGAATGAGAAGGTTTTTCTTTTTACATCATTTCTACATATTTTTGCTTAGAAAGTATAAAAGGACCAGCAAATAGGAATCATCCAAACTAGAAATCTTATTGAGACAGTATATTTGGACTAGGACAGTGCAGTAGAATAAATCCAAAGTTAGGACTCAGAAGATCTCAGCTACTTTACTGCTACCGTCTGTGACCTTAAACAAATCACTTAGTGCCTCTGGGACTTGGTTTTCTCCTGTATTGCCCAATGTTTTGTCATTCAAGAATGGGTCAGTATTAATTGTGTAATATATGCATCAGTGTTTGTGGCTTCCTGGTGACTGCACTTGGCATAAGCAATTATTGCCTATGAGTTCCTTGTATAAACCCTCTGCACCATCTGGACAAGGGCCTTCATTAT